CTACCTGTATCAGAGGCAGCAGCATCGGGGAGGGGAGGGTAGAGTGCTGAGGAGCACCTTCTGTCTGTCATCACAGACAGAAGCTGCTTCATGAGATGCTGATGCAGTCTCTGTCGCCTGGGAGCTGGGCCCCCGGCGGACAAAGGCTGCTCTCATTGGTGCGGATCCTGCTGCCATAGAAGTGATAAGGTTTATGCCATTGACTCTAATGGTAGCAGCATCGAGCTCCTAACAACAGAGCTCTAACTTGGTACTAATGAGGCAGTCTTGCCAAGAAATAATGAGGGCTGCACAAACCAGCCTTTCTATGTAGTCTTTTGTATTGTTTCACATGTAGGATTGTGTAATTGTTTGTTAGTGGAAGTTGATTAATTGAACTCCGGGACAATTTGGGCTGTGAATGAGATACAGACCCTCTGAGAAGAAAATAGATGTTAATCCAGTATTCAAAGCTCTATATAACAGGGTGATATAGAAGTTATTGTTTGAGCAATTGTTGCTGCACTTCAGGTAGACTTCATGCCACATTTTCTACTTTGTATCTCTTGCTTTCAAACTGGTGTTGAAATACTTGATCAACACTGGTAGAAAATAATTTAACACCCAGCGAAACAGAAGGTGCATCTATCTGAAAAATTCTTAACTTTACAGAAGAGAATTGAATCTACATATTATCCTAGCTTTGCATCTTTATTGTGCATTGTCTTTTGAATGGGGTTATCTAGAACAGTGGTCTCCAACCTTTTTACACCAAAGATCACTTTTTAAATGTCAGGACAAGCCAAGATCTACCCCATCCTTTCCCCAAGATCCCATCCCTTTCTTGAGGCCCTGCCTTCTTTGTTCCCCCTTTCTCCATCACTTGCTATCCCCAGCCCTGATATACTCTCAGGGTATGGCTACACTGCTGCTTTTTTCAGTCCTTCTGTTGGAAGATTTTTTTCTGACATTTGGCCAGTCTAGACTGGGCCAAATGTCGGGAAGCCCCCTTATTCCACGTGGAACAAGGAACATAGGGGCTGCCAAAATAGCATGTTTGCCGGAAAAACTCCTGCAGTGTAGCCATACCCTTACTGGGTTGAGACCGGATGTGCGGGCTCTGGGGTGGAATGAGGGATTTGGGTGTAGGAAAGGTACAAGTTCTGGGAGGGAATTTGGATGCAGGAGCATGTGGAGAAGGGGATGCTGGCTCAGGGAGGGGGATCCAGGTTGGGGAGTGTTAGGCTCAGATGTAGAGTTGGGATGCTGAGTGTTAGGCTCAGGTGCAGGAGTTTGGGAATGTGAGAGGCTCAGGACAGGGGGTTCCAATGTATGATAGGCTCAGATGAGGTCTGGGGGTTGCAGGAGTGTTATGATGCTCTTGGCTTGGCTCCAACTGAGGGCTTATTGGCCAAGCTTCATTTTTAAATAAAATATTATGTCAAACACAAAATGTTTCAGCATTGTCTTTATTTACAATAGGGGCAGGGAGCCTGGTTTGAGTCAGGGGTCACTGACCCACAGAAAAGTCAGTCGGGGCCACACAAGTGAGATACAAAAACACAACCCCCCCAAATCCCTCAAGCCTCACTAATGTGGCCCCAACTGAGCTGGTGGGGGCAGGGGACAGGATGCTGGGGCAGAGGACATGGTGCTTGCGGGTCCTGGGGCAACAGACAAGGTGCTGGGGCAAGGTGCCAGTGGGTGCGGGAGACAGGGTGTCAGTGGGTGCTGGGGTAGGGTGACAATGTGGGCCGGTGGCTGTTGGACAGGGTACTTATAGGGGGGAGGGACCAATACCGGGGGATTCTGCAGCTGTGCGCCAGGGCCCAGGAAGTGCGCGGGCTGCTCCCCCATCCTCCAAACAGTGGTGCGATCCCTGCAATGCTGGTCCGTCACACGCCTGCTGCCTTCCTGAGCTGGGAGAGGGGGAGTCCTGGACTAGGCCAGCTCCAACTGCTCGGGCAGTGCACACCTTGCTCCTCCACTCCCCATGGCAGCGTGCACTGCCTGGGCAGTTGGAACTGGTTCAGTCCCAGACTCCCACTTTCTCCCCCGCTCCTTCTCCTGCACGCAGGAAGGCAGCAGGGGAAGAAAGTCCCAAGTGTGCAACGGACAGGTGTTCTAGGTACTGTGCCAGCTGTTTGAAGTGGTGGGCAGGGGAGCAGCCCTCATACTTCTGGGACTTGGCACGCAGCTGCAGAACCCTCCCCCCCCCCATTCTCCTCCCTATCCTGCAGGAAGCCTGTTGTCCCTGGAGGTAGCATCAGTGTGGCATTCATCTTGGGGGTGGAGGGCAGCAAGGGAGGGCCCCAAAAAGCCCCGCCATCGACTGGTCAATTGCAATTGACGGGTTGGTGACCACGGATCTAGTGTAATCCTGGCAAGTCAGGTTTGTTTGCTATTGCCTAGTATTTGTCCTGTGTAGTTTAAATATGCAATACATTTGAGCTTTCAGCCCTTTCAAGATTATTCCACTGATAGATCTCACTGTCAGGGAATGTTTTCCCCTTGCTGTTCAGTCACTTTTTACTTCCTGTAAAATGTTTTGTGTTTTTTTTTTTTCTTCCTTTCTTACAGGTAGAGCAGGTGAAATTAATAGACCGTTTCAGCACCAACAATAAATCACTAACAGGAACTCTGTACCTTACAGCAACTCATCTGTTATTTATAGACTCTAGCCAGAAGGAGACATGGGTAAGAATATCAAATGCGTTACCTTGTAATTTGAAAATACACAGCTTCTCCAAATGTGTGTTCTTTTTTCCCCCTTGTGCATGTCTGATTAAAGGTAAATAATTACTGGATCATATACACAAATAAATAATAGATTGTGAACCAATAATCAGGCTTACATGCTGCTGCTTGTTGTTATGGCTCATATTTTCAAATGTGGGTGCCTAAAGTAAATCCTTACTATTTAAGAACTTATTTAAGTGCCTGATTTTCAACAGTGAGAACTGTGGGTGCTTGGTATTGTTAAAAATAAAGTCACTATACACCTAACTTCCTTTTCTTGTCCAAAGATGGTCATGCAAGTTAGTTCTTCATTAGTTTGTGTATGGTGACTGTATTTTAAATATCTACCTCTTTGACTTTCTGTGCTATCAGCTTGGAGGAGACTGTTAAGTGATTAAAGCATCTGGTTAACATATCTAGATTTCCTTGAACTCCAAGTCCAGATCTTGAAGTCTTAAATAAGACACACCCAAAAGTGTTCTGTATCCGGGTTACCTGCTTGGCCAGCTGCTGCCAATTGTCTCAGAGGAATCTGTATTTCATTGTTTTTTGTGGATACAATGTGTATAGTTTTGTAAAAGGCTTTGGAATCCTTCAGAATGAAAGATACTTATACAGGCAGTCCCCGGGTTACGTACAAGATAGGGACTGTAGGTTTGTTCTTAAGCTGAATTTGTGTGTAAGTCGGAACTGGTACATATTGTAGGGGAAACTCTAGCCAAACATTTTTTTTTTTAGTTTTGGATAGCATAGGGAAAGGTTAACTCCCCTCTAATGTTTGTTTTGCTGTCTGTTCCCCTGTTCAGAAGATTTCACATCTATTTCTGTCCCTGTGACAAACTCAGGACTAAAGGAGTAACTCATCAAATACCAAACAGCTCTGCACCATGCTTTGAGCTAATAGCTTTATTTCCACACACCACCCAGGGTTCTAGGAGGAGGGTCCTTTTTTGCTAACACAATGAGGCCAGCACTTTGTTTGTTTTGGTGGAGTCTTTGTTTGCCCAGGGAGCCCAGCATGTATAGGGGGAGGAGGGGCGGAGAGGCTGCTTTTGTCTGCTGTTCCGCAGCCTGTTGCTCAGGGGAGGGGGCAGCCTGTTGCTGGCAGCGGGCGTGGCGGGAGCGCGCCATGTATAGAGGGGAGGAGGGGCAGAGAGGCTGCTTTTGTCTGTTCAGCAGCCTGTTGCTCAGGGGAGGGGGGAGCCTGTTGCTGGCAGGGGGGGCAGCGGGCGTGGGGAAGCACTTTTCCTCTGCCCGGCAGCTCTGCGGGACCCCAGTCGGAGCCGGCCCGAGGAGGAGGAGGATCCTAGGACCCAGGTGAGCGAGCCCCGGGAATGCTGCTGCGCATGTGCGGGAGTTGCCTCACCCCGGTTCGTATCTAGGGATCCGACGTAAGTCAGATCCACGTAAGTCGGGGACTGCCTGTATATGTAAAAACAAAACTTTTCCTCTGCCCGGCAGCTCTGCGGGACCCCAGTCGGAGCCGGCCCGAGGAGGAGGAGGATCCTAGGACCCAGGTGAGCGAGCCCCGGGAATGCTGCTGCGCATGTGCGGGAGTTGCCTCACCCCGGTTCGTATCTAGGGATCCGACGTAAGTCAGATCCACGTAAGTCGGGGACTGCCTGTATATGTAAAAACAAAATTGTTTCTATTGTGCATTACTTCACTTTTAGTGTCCTTGAAATCAAACCTGTTGTATCCACAGTGCAACTTGTACTGAACTGCATTTATAGGAAGAATGTATAGTACATAAGAGCATCTTTAATTATTTCTAGTGTAGTAGTATATAAGCCTTCATTATCTGGCTCTCCATGTTGGCGGGTTATGGCTTTTTTTGTCAGCCCCGGGTGGCAGGGCATAGTAGTTCAGGCTGTTAGGCCCAGCTGCTGGGGGTTGAAGCTCTTTGCCCATCAGCCAGATGAGTAGCTGCAGAAAAATTCATAGTAGATCTTTTTCATCTGTCTTTTCATCCTGGTCTCCATGAACAGATTATGCTGCCTCTGTCTCACACTGGTGTGGGTACAGAGTGGTTGATTCTTGGAATTGATGTCTGAATTTAAGAGCACTAACACAAACTACAGTTATAGGCATACATTTTAAGGTAACCTTCGCATTCTTCATTAGTAATTCAACCTTCTGCATATTAAGTAGTGGTCCAGATACTTAAAACTAACATTGAGGATAGTAAAATGGAGTTGTGTTAAGTTTAGAGCTGGCTGATCATGGAATTACCTTCCTGTAAAAGGTTCTATGTTTTAAAAAATGTTTTCCTCATGACCTGGGGTTAAATGCTATATTTTCACAAAAGGGGGTTTCAAGACACATTCTGTTTCTGGAGAACTAAAACTGAATTTTTCAGCCACCTTAGTTGCTGGCCTGGAAGGCTGTAGCAGAAATTGATTAGAGCTTTTTAGGCCTGCTGTCAGGCCCCCTTCCTATCTCTGACATCCCCATCAGCTCTGGTGTTGGAGAGGCGGAAAGCCAGGCAGTTCAACCTGAGCAGCCCTCTGGGAAAAATTGTGTCAATTTCACAGACTTCAGAAGGAAACTAAAATTGACAAGACCTTCTAGACAGGCAGGCAGCTGGGAAACTTTCATTCTGATGTTCATGATAGAAAATTGAATTTTTTTGACACATTTTCACTGCAGAAGATACTTTTTTTTTTTTAAGAAAATCATTTTGATGAAAAATGTCCAATCAGTTCTAGTTAAGATGTTAACTAAAATTTTTTCAGTACTCTTGGTTGTTTAGTTGCTATTTTTGCTGTTTTGAACTTAGGAGCTATTCCCAGACATGGAAAGGAGCCAACTGAATATGTTCCCAACACCTAAATGATACCGCTCATCAGCCAGTGGAGCTTTAGAGAAAGTGATTTATCTGCCTTTTTGAAGATTTATTTCTGTACTTCATGTGAAAAAAGGGATTAATTTAAAGTTTGACAAACTTCAAAGGATTATCTGTATTGGAGAAAAGGAGTATTATTTCAAATAAAAAGGCTAGGATAGATTGAACAAAATATTGGTGTCAAGGACTTCTTTAATATATTAAATCTATTGTAAAAGGATTTTTGACTAGCATGTTCAGTTATGCTTCACACAATGTACTTTGTATCTGTTTTCATGAGTAAACTTTAAAGTGCTGTTCGTTTATTCCTTGCAGTAAGACTTGAACTATGAATTCTTGTGTGCCATAGATACTACATCATCACATTGCTGCAGTGGAGAAACTTGCCTTGACTACATCAGGCTGCCCTCTTGTGATCCAGTGCAAGAACTTCAGGGTAGTTCACTTTATTGTTCCTAGAGAAAGGGATTGCCATGACGTTTATAACTCTTTGCTGCAGCTGTCAAAAGCAGGTATGACTTTTCAGTGCACAAGACTTTGCAGTTTGTGTTTGAGCCACAATTCTGCAAAACAACTTTGAGCTTTGGGTTATTTCTGTTGTTAAATGTAAAGCTTCTGTAAAGTTTTTGAAATTGAACTAAAACACAGAGAGCCATCGATTTGCTGTGTGTACTTTTGGTAACTGTTACTCTACATGTAGTTTTTAGAGTGTACTGGTACATGAATATGGCAGAAGATGGGAGATTCAGGGATTTGTGATGCTGCATTTATAAAAGTTACTGCTACTTATTACATCCTCAGGGATACAGCCTAGACTGTGGGACCGTTGACTCTCCCTAAACTTTTCAGCCTGGACTGTGTCTCTCAATGCTCTGCCGAAAAAGACATTGGGATCTGATTCCACGCATAATCTTATTTTCTTGTTTCCTTTAGCAAGCTATGATGAACTGTATGCCTTCTCTTACAATCCAAAACAAAAGGAGTCTGAGCGGCTGGAAGGCTGGCAGCTTATTGACCTAACAGAGGAATACAAGCGGATGGGAGTGCCAAACTCTAACTGGCAGTTGTCCAATGCTAATCGTGATTATGAGGTAAAGGATAATGGACAATGTGTTGCAGTGGAGAAAAATTTATGCCTGTGTGATTTTATAACCTCTGATTCCAGTCCAACACAGCATCTGCAATGCCTTGCAAGCCACATTCCCTATGATTTGAGTTTGCTGCATAAAGTGAAAGGATATGGAAATTGGGAGCACTTACTGATACATTGAAAACCTACCCCCCCGTGTGTGTGTGTGTGGGGGGGGGGGATAGCATGGTTTCTAATTTTCCCTCAAAGACAGCCTTATTTTGAGAGTATGCCATGGAAAAACCCATTATAAGGGAGCAGCAGAGCAACTCTTCGATTGAGAGGAGCCTACCCTTGCATTAGCGAAGTCGGGGATAGGTGCAAGGGGTGTGATCTCTCTATACTGTGAGTGCAAAATTATTCTCTGGTCTCATTTTAATTGAACACTTTAATTTAATCTACCTCTCCCTCTGGCTTATGACTTTGAGTTCATAATCATTCATTCAGACCCTTCAATCCATTATCACTTCTGGTGTGTGCTCATTAGAAAGGATCATGGGCATATTTCTGTATGTCCGACACAAGTGTTTTTCCCTCTGTCATCTAGCCCTGCACTAACCTCTTTCTTACCCACAAAGCTGTCATGAGTCATACAGGGATAGCAGTCCATATGCACCAGATTTGATGTCCTCTGTAGATGAGACACTTACTTTATACACTTACTTTGTTTTGCAGATTTGTGAAACCTATCCCAGAGAACTTTATGTCCCCAGAACTGCAAGCAAGCCCATAATTGTTGGTAGTTCCAAATTTAGAAGCAAAGGAAGATTCCCAGTTCTATCATATTATCATAGAGATAAAGAGGTACAGTCTGATTTCCTTTCAGTGCAAGCAAGCTAAAAACTGTTTATCAACAGATGCCATGGCTCAGGGAAGATAGGGAGATAAGTATAATAATCTAGGTCCATAGGAAAAATCCTGGTTCCTTGATCTGATACTTGATCTGCTGGTGGCTAACAAGATGTTTCTTTCACTTTGTAGTCTGTAGAATGAAACAATTTATTGTAATGTTTGTCTTATAAGAGATGTTAGACATATGTATTCTAAGAACACATTACTTAATATACTGTTTCTACATGATTGTTTGTTTTTTTTCCTGTACCAGGCAGCCATTTGCAGATGCAGTCAACCTCTCTCAGGCTTCAGTGCCAGGTGCCTGGAGGACGAAAATATGTTGCATGCAATTAGTATAGCCAATCCTGCTCGTCACTACATGTATGTTATGGATACCCGACCTAAGGTATATACCTGAGGGCTTCAGCTTACAGTTCATCTTAACTTCTTTTACTCGATCACTTTATAGATTACTGTATTTTCCAGCGTATAAGGCGACTGGGCGTATAAGACAACCCCCTAATTTTCTAGTTAAAACATAGGTTTTCGCCTATACTCGCCATATAAGACTACCCCCCCTTCTGAGGCAACACCATTTAATAACATCAGCTCTGCCCCAGGGTCCGCAACAAAAGCCTGGTCTGCTGGGGGGGGCACATTAGCTGCGCCCCCCCCTCCCCCAGCAGACCAGGGACACGCGAGCAAAGTCGCACAGGCGGAGGGACCCCGCCGCCCGTGTGGCTTTGCTCCTGTCTCCCTGGTCTGCTGGGGGAAGGGGTCCCGCTCCCTGGGCGGCTTTGCTCCCGGGCAAACGAGCAAAGCGGCCCAGGCGGCAGCTTTGCTCGGGTGTCCCTGGGCT